TCTCTCTCTCTCTCTCTCTCTCTCTCTCTCGGTTCGGCCCCGGTGGCGGAAGGGAGGGCCGGGTCCCGCCCGCAAAGTTGTGAGCGGAGGCGCCGGCCCCGCTCGGCCCGGCCCGGCCCCCTTACCGCCGGTCTGCCCGGCTCTGCCTTCCCCCTACAGCTCCCTTTCCTATCGCCCCTATCTCCTCCTCTTCGCTCCCCCTCTCACCCCCCAGCCCCCCGCCGTGCCCCGCAGCTCCCTTTGTTCTCCCCCCGGCTCCAGCCCTCGGCCGTGCCCCCCGACGGCTGCCCCGCGCCCTCCCGGTGTCCCCGCACCCGCTGTCACCTCCTGCTGCAACTTCATCCCCTCCTGTGGCTCCGGGGGTCTGACAGAAGGGAGCGAAGCACGGGAGGGGTGCATAGCATTGGGGCCGTGCATCTCCCTGCAAGAGCTCGGGGGTGCGGGGGGTACAGGCGTGTGAGTGGCTGATAGACAAAGCCCTTGGGGCTGGGGGATGCTTTTGGGGAGTGGGCAACAGCGCTCCCTGCCTGGCTGCTCATTGTGGGCTTGTGTCTGGGGGGTTCCTCTATGGCCCCAACCACCCTGTGACAGGCTGCCCTGACCTCAGCCACGCGCTGACCTCCAGCGGTCCTGGAGATGATGATAAGCACTCCTAGTACTGCACTGGGCTGCACACCCTGAGCTCCCAGCCCCACATTGACTTATCAGAGCCTGGGTACAAACTGCAGGGCAGTGAGTCCAGCAGAGAAAAACCCTTGGTGCTGCCTCAGGGCTGGGCTGCACAGCCAGGATGTGGCACTGATGGTTGTTCCCGTTCCTGGGGTTTCAGAATGGGCTTCTGGCAGTACTGACTGGCAGGGCACCTGCTGCAAGAGCAGAATCCTCTGGTGCTGATTGCCAGGGTGACTTGCTGTGTTCCCCTGGGCTTTGTCCCAGTGGTTTTGTAGCAGCTCCTCCAAAGCTGCCAGGGTGTCAGCTCCCACTATTTGCTGTGAGTCGTGGTGAATTCGAGCAGGTCTTCGTTCCCTAAAGGCTCTGGCTTTGGAGTGTTGTCCTTGTGGTTGTCGCTAACAGAGGAAGGAGTTTGGTCTTTGCCCTCGTGATGCCGTAGAAATCCCCAAATCCTAGCGCCCCGGCTGCAGCTCTCCCCTGGTGCTCTGTCCCAGCTTTTCCTGCAGACCCTTCTGCTCCATGCCAGGCAGACACCCTGGCAGGGCTCTGAGCACCCTGGCACAAGCTCCAAGGGGTCCGGCCATGGAGCAGCAGCAGCACTCATTAGGAAAGCTGCTGTCCTCCAGTGACCCAGAGCACAGGGGCTGTGCGTGCTGATGGCACTGCAAGCTCACACACGTGGGTTGTGACACCGGTGGCAGCAAGGTGTGCTGTTGTTTGAAGCAGACCGGTATTGCAGCTGGGGATGCCAGGGTGAGAAGGCTTGCCTTGGGCTGCGCAGCACAGGTAGAGGTGGTTCTACAGTGCTTCATTTCTGGTTTGGGAGCTCTGCAGCACCAGGCAGATGTGTGTGGCCAAACCCACTGCTCCTTGGCTTTGGCCCTTCGTGCTGGAGCTCAGACTGTGCTGGGTATGTTGGCTATTAGGGGACTTGGGCTCCTCTGTCCCCACTGTGCTTTGCACTGATGCTGTTGGCAGATCCAAGAGCAGGCAGCAGCCCCAGGAGGCATCACCTGGCCCTGGGTGCTGGGCGCACCTGGATGCTGCTGCCCATAACAAACTGCCCCACACTGCCCCTGGCCCCGAAGCTGTGTGCTGAGGATGGTGAGCAGCCCAGCATCAGGCCAGAGAGATCCCGAGCGCTGCAGTTATCCCGAGCCCTGACCCTGGTGACAGCACATGCGAAGCTGTGCAAGTGCAGCAACCAAAAGCTTTTTCTCTGAGGTCATGGCGTGGGCTGTTTCTGTTTGCTTTAACCTGAGACCTGGGCTGGTGGCACTGTGCAAACTGCTGTGATGCGGGTAAGCCCCTATGGACTGGGGGGGAGAGGGGGGTGAGGGCACGTGGTCCAACCCCGTTTTGCAGCCCATTCCCTGGAGACTACGCGTCCCAGCGTGCAGCGCTCGTTGCTCCTCACCATGGCCAGCAGCGAGCGGAGCAGAGCGGAGCGGTGCATCCCGGGATGCCGGATCTCCATGCGCCACGTGGGGCTGACAGCCATCCTTGGCTGCAGGGCTGCACCAGCTTTTCCCTGCCCTCCCTTCCCGGGGCTGGCAGGCAGCAGGGATGCTGGTGGGCCGTCACTTCTGCTCCCTTCCCTGCCCATCTCCTGTAGTGCCGTTCCATCAGGCTGCAGCTCACATCACTTCTGTGGCCAGGTGCCATCCTCGTGAGTTGCAGTCCCGCAGATGCAAAGCAGTGCTGTGTGTGACAGTGGGCACCGGGCTGCCGGTGGTGCTGGGATGTGTGTCCCTCCACTGGGGCCAAGGAGCGTGGTGACATCCATGCGGAGCTGTCGCTGTGCATCACGTGGGGAGGCTGTCCAGGGTGTTGTGCCTGCAGCTGGTTGCGCTCCATCCCGTCCGGATGAGAGAAAGGAGGATGAAGGCAGCCTCACTGGGGCATGCTGATGCCTGGCTCCCAGGACGCATCAATATGACATCTGACTGGGGAGCCCCAGGTAGGAACTGTGGCTGTCCCCGTGTCCTACCCCAAGCAGAGGGGGGGGGAGGGTCCCACCACCCTGTGAGATCATTCTGTGCACACAGAGGGAATTCGTTGTCAGCTCAAATCCATGCAGGGCTGAGGGACACAGAGCCTTCAGGGGTGTAAAAACAAAGCATTGGAAGATGAGAGCTGCCGTTCAGTTTTGATTTTCCTTTCTCCTGAGGATGTGGTGACCGATGCACTCTCTGTGGGGTGAATTGATGCATCTCAAACAGCTTGGGAAAGTTTCTTGTGCATCGAGTATGCTTCGACTCTGTGTTATTTAATGGCAGTGAGGAAAGTGCTGCATTTCCAGCTCAGCTTCAGCTGAATTCTGATTTCCATAGAGCACAACTTGACCAGGATGAAAGCAGGAATTCCCCAGCACCGGTGCTGACCTTGGTGGCAAAACTTGTGTCTGTGCCGTAGAGGCGGGCAGCCCTGCCCTGCTCCCCCTGCTGCAGTGGGAGAGGGTGAGGAGCAGTGCGCTCCTGCATGATGAGGTGCACTGTCTCCTCCAGACGTGCCGTGTGACTGGTGTCCCCTTGTGGGGCATCCCATACCGGTCCAAAGCTGGCTGTCTCAACTCCCAGCACTGGGGGCAGTGCTTTCTTTAATCCTTATGTTGTTCTCCGTCCCATGGCAGTGGATCTCCCCACAGGCAGCAGTGCACCCCGCGCCCACTTTGCTGCAGCACCGCCGGGGATCCCCCATAGCGGTGAGGCCAGCTGAGCCGGTAGAGCCAGTGCTGCCTGGCAGCCCGCCCGGCTGCGGGGAGCGGCTGCTCCCACCGCGTGTCTCGGCTTCGCCTGGCCCTGCGTGCTGCGTCCTGTCAGCTGTGGGTGTGCCGGGCTGCTGCGGGGAGCCTGGGGGGTGGCAGCGTGGGAGCCCCCTGCCGCCCCCGGGTTACTCTATGGGGCGAGAGGGGCAGCAGGGAGCTGTGGGACCGGTTTGCGGCATCGCCTTCCATCTCGAACCTGGTGACCGCTGGCCTGCCTGAGTGGCAGATGGTGGCTGCCTGGGGACCCGCCGGCCGGGTGATTATTCACCCGTCTCCATGGCGATAGAAAGGTCAGCGAAAAGATCCCGTGTGATTCTCGGGTCAGGTCGGTGGGATTAGGAGCTGCGCGGAAGGGCTGGGGGTGGGGGGGTAGGGCCACAACCGCTCCCTGGCACGCCAGCTGCACCGCCCCCGGGGCACCGAGATCTGTCTGAGAACTGACAAACTGTGTGCACCAGTGGGTCTGACCGGCATCGGGGATGGGACTGTGTTGCTGGGGGCTTGGCTGCTCCAGTACAGGTCATGGCACCCCGGCAGTGCTGGTCCCTCATCCCTCCATCTCCTCTTCTTCTTCCTGGCAGCAGGGATGAAGTGCCTCTGTACTGCTGCTGTTGGTGCCTGTGACTGACCTGTGTTCTCCCTCTCTCTGCAGGCTGTTCCTCTAAGTCATTCAAGCTGTACTCGCCAAAGGAGCCCCCGAACGGCAACGCCTTCCCCCCATTCCATCCGGGCACCATGCTGGATCGAGATGTGGGGTGAGCTGGGGGCTGGGGAGGGATCGGTGAGGCTTGGGGTTTTCTGGTCTCCTGGATCCCCAGAGCTGTATTGAGACTGCAGCACATCTTGTGCTAACTGAATTAGCACAAGGCAAGAGATGGGATGGGAGCTACTATTGATGGGTGGAGAAGGGGTTACATTTGGGATCAAGGGAGCCCCAGTTCTCCAGCATTGTGGGACCAAGCCCATTTCCAGGTCAATCTTCTGGGGACAGTTCCAGCCCCTGCCACATTCCCTGTTCCTGGCACCAGCCCTGGGGGGAGCAGGATGGGCCCCTGGGGCTGGGAAGCAGCTCAGTTCTGGGGTGCAGGTCACCCTGTGGGGCTGTCAGACACCAGCATCCTGACTGCTTGCTGCTGGTAGAAGGGAAGGGGGGATGGGGACTATGGAGCCCAGGGATAAGGATCTTGGCCATTGCTGACCCCGCTGTGTTGCTTTTCTCCCACAGACCTACTCCCATGTACCCACCTACGTACCTGGAGCCTGGCATTGGGTAAGTGTGAGGGGCTGGCAGGGAAGGAGCAGGGAGCCTGCTCCAGTCTGGTTTGGGGTCAGTGCCTGGGGAGGATGAGTATGGCACATGGGTGGCCTGCGGAGGCCGTATGTCCCCATACCTTCGTCCCCATCCCTATGCCCCACGCTGCAGCTGCTCCCTGTTCTGACCACGTGTTCTCTGCTCCCTGGCAGGAGGCACACGCCGTATGGCAATCAGACTGACTACAGGATATTTGAGCTCAACAAGCGGCTGCAGAACTGGACAGAGGTGGGGAGCTGGGGGCCAAGCTGGGAAGCGAGTGGGAGGGGTGTCTGATGACAGGGGGGCAGCCTCTTCTCCGGGTGCTTATCTGAATGCAGTCCTCCAAGGGCTGAGCGTAGGGCTGCCTGTCTTTTGTCCCCTAACCCAGCATCTCTGCTGTCCCCAGGAATGTGACAATCTGTGGTGGGATGCCTTCACCACGGAGTTCTTTGAGGACGATGCCATGCTAACAATCACTTTCTGCTTGGAGGATGGACCAAAGAGATACAGTAAGTGGCAGCAGAGTGGTGTGGCTAGGGCTAGCCCCTGGGGTTCCCAGAGCTTGTGCTTGAGTATTCCTTCCCAGAGGCATTGCTTTACGATGGGGCTGCATGGGTAGGCATGAGCGAGGGATTGGAGCCCAGTTGCCTACAGCCATGGGGACCTTATTCACATGCACACCTGGATGAGTCGTTTTTACTGATGTTATTTTCTCCCTTTTCCCACTCCAGCAATTGGCCGGACTCTGATACCCCGTTACTTCCGCAGCATCTTTGAAGGAGGGGCCACAGAGCTCTATTACGTGCTCAAGCACCCCAAGGAGTCCTTCCACAACAACTTTGTCTCTCTGGACTGCGACCAGTGCACCATGGTCACCCAGCATGGCAAGCCCATGTTCACCCAGGTACCTCCAGCCCCCACGTGTCTCAGTCTGGCAGATGCTCGCAGTGGTAGTGGTGACATGAAGTGAGGGATGGGCACTGATTTTCGTGGCTGTGTGCTGAGCAGATGGAGCTGTGCTGATGGAGCACTGTAAAGATAGCCTGCCCTTGCAGCATCCCTTGGGCACAGGTCCCCTGTCTCTGAAGGCTCTTGGGTTTGCTTTGTGCTGAGACTCGTGCCAGGCAGTCCCAAGCTATGGGATGGGTGTCCTGGTGTGCAGGAGCAATGGGTTCTCAGGGTTCTGGGCTGGGGGAGCAGGGTGGCAGCGCGTGCCTGACTCTGTGTCCTGCCCAGGTGTGCGTGGAGGGGCGGCTCTACCTGGAGTTCATGTTTGATGACATGATGAGGATAAAGACGTGGCATTTCAGCATCCGCCAGCATCGAGAGCTCATCCCCCGCAGCATCCTTGCCATGCATGTGAGTACTGCTCCTCAAAGTGTGGGGCAGGGCTGCTGATTTCCTTTCCCTGTTGCACAGATGGGGCTCCCCCACGCCCCGCTAATTACAGGATGGGGCACAGGGGACAATCCCCAGCTGAGCGCTGTCCCTCTCACCCTTAGGCACAGGACCCCCAGATGCTGGACCAGTTATCCAAGAACATCACCCGCTGTGGGCTCTCAAACTCCACACTCAACTACCTCCGAGTACGTGTGCCAGGAGCAGAGCGGGCTGTGCGTCGGGGGTCTGGAGGAGGGGGGAGGATAATGCACAACAGTGGGGCAGCAAGTGTGTGGAGCCCGTGGGCTCTGCATGAGGCTTGGGTCACCGCGACACGGCAGAGGGGCTCTTGGCTTTGGCAACGTCTGACCTCGTGCCCGTCTGCTCCCCCAGCTCTGTGTAATCCTAGAACCAATGCAGGAGCTCATGTCACGGCACAAGACCTACAGCCTCAGTCCCCGGGACTGCCTCAAGACCTGCCTGTTCCAGAAGTGGCAGCGGATGGTCGCGCCGCCCGGTGAGTGCAGCTGCCTGCTGGGCTGCGTGGTGCGGGTGGGAGGAGGTGGTGCTGGCAGAAGGGTTGGGGGGCACTCAGCTGCGGCTGACTGACTGCTTCTTCCTCCCGGCCCAGCGGAGCCGGCACGGCAGCAGCCCAGCAAGCGCCGGAAAAGGAAGATGTCAGGGGGCAGCACGATGAGCTCCGGCGGTGGAAACACCAACAACAGCAACAGCAAGAAGAAGAGCCCCGCCAGCACCTTCGCTCTGTCCAGTCAGGTACCTGTAAGCATCCCGTTTCCATTCTCTTTTCCTTCCCCGGGATGGAGGGGTGGGCTCCCAGCCCCAGGAAGTGGCTAAGGGACATCCCCAGGGCTGCTTGTCCGAGGCCCCGGCCCTCTCCTGGTGACGGGGAAAAGCAGGAGGCAGCCCCAGGTCTCCCTTCCCTCCCCCTGTTCTGCCTGAGCCCTTGCAGAGTGTGAGTAGCAGCCCAGGGACAGAGGCGAGGAGGCAACCCTGAAGCTGAGGAAGGGGCTGAGGTGCCGGGAGGGGGGGGTTTGGCGGCCGGGGCTCCCCCCACCTCGATTATGTTTCGGGACCGTCTCCCCTTTCAGGATGTGATGGTGGTAGGCGAGCCCACGCTGATGGGGGGGGAGTTCGGGGACGAGGACGAGCGGCTCATCACTCGGCTGGAGAACACGCAGTTTGACGCCGCCAACGGCATCGACGACGAGGACAGCTTCAACAACTCGCCCGCGCTGGGGGCCAACAGCCCCTGGAACAGCAAACCGCCCTCCAGCCAGGAGAGCAAGTCAGAGAACCCCACGTCGCAGGCGTCGCAGTAACGGCCCCGCGCCCCCCCCGCGGACTCAGTCCCAACCGATCTACCTGTACATTTGCAACGGAGAGTGACTGGGAAGCGGCGAGGTACTGGGGCGGATCGGCGCCGCGTCACGGCGGGACCCACGGCCGGGGGCAGCGCCTGCCGCCGCCTCCCCGCTCCCCCCGCGCCCGCTGCCCCCAGACCCAGGGCAGGGGCGGATGTCGGGGCCGTAGCTTCGTTATTCCCCCTTCTCCCTCTTCCTCCTCCCTGCTTCTTCATCCCTGGAGAGCCTCTCGTGTCCCCTCCCGCCGTGCCCAGCCCCTGCCTGCTGAACGGGGCGCGGCGGGGCTGCAGAGCCCTGCGGTGAGGTCCAGCCTTCCTCCTCCTCTCCCCTCCTGGGTCTGACGGCGGTGTTTGCTGTGTGCGCGCGCCTCCAGCCCAGCCTGGGGCTGGTGGGGCTGGCCGAGGACAAAGCCCCGGCTGCTGTGGTGTTGGGGGTCGGTCACCGGGCATTCCCCACTCTCCTGCCCCCTCCTTGGCCCCCATCCCCTCGCTCCCCCCCACCCCCCCAGCAGGGCCCTGCTGGGGACTGTGTACATAGAAAGCGCCCAGCAGGGAGGGAGCTGAGGGGGCTGGGGGGTCCAAGGCCAGCAGCCCCCACGTCTCCACCCGGAGTCCCTTGGTGACCTCCGGCTCCCAGTACCTCCTACTTTTGTCTGTTTTGTTTTTTTTTTTTTTTTTTTTTTTTTTTTAAAAAATTTTTTAAAATTTTAAGTTTTAAAAAAAAAAATATGGGACAAACCCCCTCTTGCCCCCTCCCCCCCCCCTTCCCTGGCCAGTGCCCCCCTCCCTGCCCTGAGCGCTCTCACCCTGTCCTGACTTTTGTACAGGCTTCTTCTCTTGGGAGTCTCGTTTTATATCCAGTTCGGAGAGCTTCAAACCAAGGAGAGACTTTGCAGACTTCCTTTCTAATCCCTCCAGGGGGTGGGGGGCAGCCCCCCACCTCCCTCCTCCTGTAAATCTTGTGTGCTGTTGTCCCTGCTCCTTCCCTCCCTCCCCCCCCCCGGTTCGTGTACCTCGTGCTTGTACATTTCCGCGCTGTAGACAGTGTGTACGATACTGTTCTTTCAATGTGTTATCACTAGAGCAGGTGCCTCCATTGATGTTAGGGGAAACAATGAGAATAATAATAATTTTTTTGGGATTTTTTTTCTTTTTTTGGTTTAAAAAAAAAAAAAAAAAAAAAAAGGAAAAAAAATATTTTCCTTCCAAGGCTTCTTCCAAGGTGAAGATTGAAGGCGAGGGGGAGGGTGTGTGTGTGTTTACTGCCCCCCCCCCCGCATCCTCAGTAGGGTACTGTGGAGTGAGCTGGGGGTCTGGCTGCATGTGTGCCCCCCTGGTATGTCCCCAGCTTGGGAGTGCAGCAGGTGCTGCCCCACAGGGTGGATGGGGCTATGCTGGGTGCAAGAGTGTGTGTGTGTGTGAGTGGGGAGAGTGAGTGTGCAAGGGAATGTTTTGGGGGGGTCTGCACTCTGCTCTCTCTGCCAGCACCCTCCCAGCACCGTGCTGGGGGGAGCAACAGCCTGTGAGCCCCACAGGGATGGGTGGGAGCCGTCAGGGGCTGCCCCATGAACACAGAGGTTCTGGGTGCAGTCCACGTCTCACCCAGGTTGGGGGTGGCTGTGATGGGAGGGACCCTGTGTCCCCCCAGCCCTCCTGAGGGACTGGGAGATGGTGCCTGAGACCCTTGGCTCAAGCCCTGACCTGATCCCAAGTCCCAGCACCCAGTGGGGTGTCCCATGCTGACCTCCACTTCCTGGGGGCTGAGGTCTCAGTCCTGCAGATCTCTGCCCCCAAGCGTGGGACCCCAGAGGAGGCTCCCACGGCACCGGGGGGGTTTCTGCTTTGCAGTAAGGTACGATGGGTGCTGGGGTTCCCACAGAGTGGTGATGTGCCCCCTCGCTGCCCACCCTCTCCCCGGGCACACTGAAATGCCTTTTTCTTTTTTTTTCTTTTGCCCCCCCTTTCTCCCCCGTCCTCCATAGTTTGTGCCATTTATGAGTCATGTATGGTACCAATAAAATGACTTTTCGGTTTGAGGCTGTCCTGAGCGCTTATTTCTGAGCCCAGGGCCTGGGGCTGCCGGTGCTGGTGCTGATGTGCATCCCCAAACCCTCCAGGTTTCGGCTCCTGGGCAGCTGCAGTGGGGGGGTGCTTCAGCCATTCCCCCCCCCAGCCAGGAGCACCAGAAAGCAGCTTAGGGCTGTTCCTGCACGGGGTGTCCGCAGCAGGAAGAGGCTGAGCTGCGAGTGCCTCCACACCCTGGGGTAAAGGTAAAGCAGCCGGAAAAAAATCCGCCTTAAAACCTCGGGGGAGTCCCGTGACAGCCCTACGCTGCACGAGCCAAGTTTATGCAGTTTTTCCCTGTTTGTCTTTCCCTTGGTGTATTGCATCCTTTCCTGTCCCAGGGCCCATGCTGTGCTACAGGGGCAGGGGTTGGGGGGGCAGGAGGGAAGCCGCCGAGCTGCCTCTCACCCAGGGCACCAAGAGCTGCCGTGGGGCAGGGGGAAAAGGGTATAGGGTACAGCTCCCAGCACCTGTCCCAGAGCAAGGCAACTGCAACAGCTCATGCGGGATGTGGGGCCGGGAAGGTGATGAGGGTTCTGGGAGGGGCAGATATGGGGAGTCGGGATGGGATGGGCAGCGTGGGGGGGGAGGGGGGGGGGGCTCCGGGAGTCCCGTGGGATCGCGCTTGGGAGGCACACCGCTGCCGCAGGGGGCCCAGACCCGGACGCGGGAGGGCCGGGGGCCAGGCGGTGGCCGGGACAGGGTGGGGCGGTGCATTTGCCAGCGCAGAGCTTTTCAGTCCCTGGGCTGAAACTGAAAGGAGCCGCAGAGCCGGTCGTTAGCTGTGCGGCGGGGCACCGCAGGACGCGGTAAGTGCTTTGTCCCCGCCTGTCTCCCCGAGATCCTTCGCTTCCCCCTGGGCACAGCCCGCTGCCCCCACCCCTCCCGTATCCCAACCCCAGGCTGTGGGGTATGGGATTTTTCCCCCACCGCTCGGGGATGGGTGGCAGGGTGTGACGTGTAGCTGTCCTTGTCCCCTCTCTGCTCAGGTGCCACCATGGAGCTGGGGAACATCTCGCAGCCCGTGTACGGCCCCGGCCTCGAGGAGCCGAGCAGCAGCATGCCGGGGCTGGTCCGCATGGCGCACGGCTTCCTGCACCTGGTGCAGCCCCACAGTCTCCCCTTGGGTGCGTGCTGGCGGTTCCAGGACCGCCCGAGTCTGCTGTGGTGGGGTCAGGAGGGTCTCACAATGTGTCACACGGCACAGAGGCAGCCCATAATAGGTCCATAGGAGAAGGTAGGGCAAGACCTGGAAGTGAAGCAAGCATCGCAGAGGGGGACTTTGCCCCTGTCCATGCAGAATGCTTTATCCCCATCCCGGGTGTCACGTGCACGCTGCCAGGGTGATGTTAGAGTGTCCCCCCAGAGCCTCCAAAACAGAGAGTTTGGGACTGGTGATGATTTCCCTGGGTGCCAAACGGCTGGGGGGAGACGGCCGGAAGGGAAAAGGTGCCAGGCACGTGCTGCCCAGAGCCGCGGCACTGGGTGGTGCTAGGAGTCCCAAAGCCAGGTTAGGGTTGAATTAGGGCCGGGGTTGAAGTTAGGGCTGGGGTTAGGGAGGGTGCCTGCTCACGACCACTTCTGCTCCCCGTCCCCCAGAGCTGATAGCGGATCTGGCACAGACGCAGGGCAGGGTGGTGACCGATGAGCAGAAGGAGGAGGTGAGCGTGAAGCCGGGGTGCAGAGCCAGATCCCACCCTCGGGTTTGCGCAGACCCGGGCCGCCAGCCTCGCGCCTCCTTTCTCCCTCTCACAGCTGCTGTGTTACGAGCTGGGCTTCCTGGTGTGCATCGCCATCGGGCTGCTCTTCGCCGTCGCGGTGCCGCTGGCGGGATGCTGCTTCTGCTGCTGCCGCTGCTGCGGGCGCTGCGGGGGCCGCATGTCCCAGAAGCAGAGCGGGCGGATGCGCAGCCGACGCCGGGTGCTGTACAGCGCTGTGCTGCTGGTGTCGGCGCTCCTGCTGTGAGTGCCGCGGCGGCCGGGAAGGCCTCTCCTGGAAGCTGCCGTATCTGCGGGAGCGGCTCCGGCGCGGAGGGACAAAGGAGAGGAAGCGGTGGCGGTGGGGAGCGGGACCGTGGGCCAGAGCCCTTCCCGGCAGCCTCGCAGCGGGGCTCCGCGTGCTTCGGTCTCCCCGTAGCGGGAGGGGCGGGGTTGGGCGCGGGGCGCGTTCGCTGCACGTCCTGCCGGGTCCCTCATCGGGGTGCTCAGCAGTGCGTCCTGCACCTGCGTTTGGAGGGTCCGGGAGAGAACGCCGGTGCTCCTCCCGCTGACCCCGCTGCCTTCATCCTACAGGGCCGGCGATGTGTGCGCCTTCATCAGCAACCTCCGCTTCTCACAATCCGTGAGCAGCGCCTTCCCCAACATCAACAGCACCGTGCACGACCTCTGCTCCTACCTGCTCTCCATCCCCCAGGCACGCCCGCATCCCGAGTGGGGCACGAGGGGAGGGCAGCCCCGGGGCTGGGGGTGGGAGGGGTCCCCAAGGAGTCCCCACCCCACGCTGTACAAGAAAGACAGAGAGCTGTTGGAGAGGGTCCAGAGGAGAGCCACGAAGATGATCAGGGGGCTGGAGCACCTCCCCTACAAAGACAGGCTGAGGGAGCTGGGCTTGTTCAACCTGGAGAAAAGAAGGCTGCAGGGTGACCTCATTGCAGCCTTTCAGTACCTAAAGGGAGCCTACAAACAGGAGGGGAATCAACTCTGAAAGGGTTGATAACTGCAGGACAAGGGGGAATGGTTTGAAGTTGAGGGAGGAAAGATTTAGGTTGGATGTCAGGGGGGAGTTCTTTACAGAAAGAGTGGTGAGGTGCTGGAACAGGCTGCCCAGAGAGGTTGTGGATGCCCCGTCCCTGGAGGTGTTCAAGGCCAGATTGAATAGGGCCCTGGGCAGCCTGGTCTGGTACTAAATGGGGAGGTTGGTGGCAGGGGGGTTGGAGATTCATGATCCTTGAGGTCCTTTCCAACCCAGGCCATTCTGTGATTCTCTGCCCCTGCAGCAAGTCAGCTTCATCATCGACAGCAGCAGCGTCCCGTTGGGCAGCACCAATGACAGCCTGCAGAGTGAGCATGCACGGTTCCTGCTGTTGTGGGGCTGATTTGGGGATTGGGGTGGCTAGGGATGCTGGGCTGGCATGGCCCTATTGCCCAGACTCCAGCACATCGCTGTGGGATGAGGTTTGGTATGAGGGCAGTTCTTTCAGCAGCTCCCCTGCAAGGCATGGGCTGCTCAGTGCAGTCCAAGGGGGATCCTGCATTGACCCCCCCCCCCATCTCCACAGACATTGGGCCCCTCCTCGGCGGCAGGATCGCCTCCAGCATCAGGAGCTGCACAGACGAGGCGCTGGGATCCCTACAGAGCCTTTTGGGAGGTGATGTCCCAGTGATTCTGAGGATGTGTGGGGGACACCAGGGGGATACGAGGGCTGAGGGCTGGGCTGGGGGCACATGTGGTGTTTTGGGAAAGGCCTCTGGGGAGGGGTGTGCCTGCCCATCCCTGGTCTGGCTGGAATGCTGGCACTTTGGGGTGTATTCCTGGATGTCCCTCGCTGCCTCTCCAGCAATGGAAACACTGGCGTCCACCTTTGGCACCATCAACAGCACCCGCTGGCGCCTGGAGGAACTGCAGGGCACCTACGACGGGCAGCTGGGCACGCTGCGGACACGCATTGACAGCACCCTGCAGCGCTGCGGGCAGCCCTGCAGCACCACCTCATCCAGTGGTGTGGCCTTCGTGGCCAACTATAGCACGGTGAGTTCTGGGGGGCCATGGGTGTCCCCCACCTCCCTGCCCAGCCTGCGGCCTCCTCACCCTGAGCTGTGCCTGCAGGTGCCCGGTGTGGAGCGGCAGCTGGAGGCGCTGTGGGATGTGCTGGACAGTGGCATAGAGGGGGATTTGGAGGTGAGGGGGTGCGTTGGGGGAGTGTGAAGGGCTGCATGGAGGGAAGAGCGGGGTGAGTGCCTGAGGCTGGTGGAGTACATAAGTCCTGTGCTGTCTATGGGTGGCTGGGAGGGGGTCGGGAGCTGGATGCTGTCCCTGTGCAGGTGATCAGCGTGCTGGAGCAGGCCCCCAGAAAGGTGCAAGAGCAGACCCAGAACGTGGTGACACGTAAGTAGGGCCGCCATGCTGATGCCTCACCATGGGGACCAAGCATCCCATCCTCTCCTTGGGTTCTCCCGGAAGAGCAGGGTGTGGGTGGTAGCTCCATCAGCGACCCATCCCTGTCCCCATGCCCTGTAGGGACCCAGAAGCAGCTGGGCTACATCAGGCAGGAGATTCGCAGCATGCAGGACCAGCTGCCGCTGCAGAATGTGGAAGAGACAGCTGGGAACCTGGTGAACCAAACCAATGCCGTGCTGGGGGACAACCAGAAGACTATCACTGACCTGGATAGCATCAGGTAGGGGGGCTGCTCCACCTACCTCAGGCATTCCCCTCTTCTTGGGCTCTCAGCCCAAACCGTTGCCATCATCCTGCCCCAGGTGGAGCGTGTGTGCCCTGCTGTGCTGCATGGTGCTGCTGGTAGTCCTGTGCAACACCTGCGGGCTGCTGCTGGGGCCGCTGGGGCACAAGGAGAGCACGCTGCCCACCCAGCGTGGCTGCCTCTCCAACACCGGAGGGAACTTCTTCATGGCGTGAGTGAGGCTCTCGGGCAGGGCTGTGCGTGGGGTGTGCAGGCTGCGCACTCCCCGTGCTGATGGAGCTCTGCTCTGCAGAGGGGTGGGCTTCAGCTTCATCTTCTCTTGGCTGCTGATGCTGCTGGTGCTGCTCACTTTCTTCCTGGGGGGGAACATCTACATGCTGGTCTGTGAGTCCTGGAGCAGCCAGCAGCTCTTCCAGGTGGGCTCCCCCCTCCTCTGCCTTCACCCAGGGCTGGGACAGCTTTGGGGGCTCTCCCTGGTGTCCCACCCTGCACCATGACTGGTTGCTCCATTATTTCCCTGGAACCCAGCTTGTGGATACCCCTGGTCTCATCCCCGGCTTTAACCTTTCGGAGGTGCTGGGTGACGAGAGTGGCACCATCACCTTCTCACAGATCTACAGGTGGGCACAGCTATGGGCAGCGTCCCCAGGGTGGGTCCCCCAGGGTGGGAGCTTGTCCTGGGGTTGTGTGCAGGGAAGGAGCGAGGTGTTCCCTGGGTAAGGACATGCCCTGGGGGAGCACCCGGCTCGATCGCAGCCCTGTGCCCACCCCTCAGAGAATGCCAGCAGGATGCTGCCCTATGGCAGACGCTGCGCCTGGACCAGAGGGTGTCCCTGGATGAGCTTCTGGACATCAGCCAGGTGAGCGCCAAGGAGGGACACAACGCAGGTGGGGACATGGGGCTGGCACTGTGTCCCGCCCCTCCTCACGGCTCCCCTCACCCTGCAGTACACAGGGAAGATCTCAGCGGCTTTCCAGAAGCTGAACATCACCCTGACCCCCATCTCTGTGCTGAACAAGAGCCAGCGGGAGCTGCTGCTGAATGCCTGCCACGATGCACAGCCCCCCAGCTTCACCCACACCCTGCAGCAGGTGTGGGGCTGTGGTCGGGATGGGGGGTCCGGGTGCTGTCCCCTCTGCTACGGGGTCCCAGCTCCATCCTGCCCCATGGGGACGGGGTGCAGCTCTGCTGTTGTCCTCACCCCCACCCCACCTCAGCACTGTGTCTTTCCCAGCTGGATCAGGGCGTCACGGTGGGCAGCCTGCAGGAGCTGGCCACAAAGCTGGAGCAGTTGGTGGGCAACGCGGTGAGATCCTGTCCCCAGGGCTGAGGGGTGTCCCCTGGCCTAGGAGCCCCTTATGCCTCAGAGCAGGCAAGGGCTGGCAGTGGGGTCCCTCTGTTATCTGGTGGGCACTGCTGAGAGCCTCTCCTGCAGAGTGCAGATGTTCAGAGGGACCTGAAGGCAGATGCTGCTGAGCTGCGGGAGCTGGACAGGGAGCTGAACAGCAACTTCTCAGGGCCGCTGGTGAGCGATACTGGGAAGGGGAAGGCGCCCTGCTGGGGCACCGAGTGAGCCATGGGTACACATCCCTGTTTCTCTGTCCACCACCCCCAGAAAACCCTGAAGGAGAACATCCAGCTGGTGCAGAGCCAGGCTGCCCAGCTCGAGGTGAGGCACTCATGGGGCAACCCAGCTCCTACACTCCCTGTAATGGGGCTAACCCACAGCTTGGGGCACACTGGGGCTGTTAATGGGGCATAGGGCTGCCCCATTCTCTGGCTCAGAGATGCTGCTTCTCAGGGACTGCTGCTGCATGGGGTTGGGGAGATGCAGAGACCCTGCTCTCCCCATCGTGCTGCTGACAGCTCCTTTTGTCTCAGGCACTGACAAACTCCACGTTGGACAAAGCCAGTGCCACAGAGGAGTTCCTGAGAAGGGAGATGGGGAACATAATCAAGAATGTGAGCTCACTTTGCCCTGCTGAGGGGCACATGGGGGGATATGACTGGGTTGGCCTCACTGAGACCCCACCTCACAGGGATACCACATAGTTCCCAGGGGTCCCCTGTGCTTCCACGTGCCCCCATTTCTGGCAAGGGGCCTGGGGGCATAATGCAGACCCTTTGCTGCCGGATCGAGGTGACATTTTGACTCTGATCCTGGCATGGAGGGGATGTGGGGCACGGTGTGGGCTGGGGGGTACAGCATCCCCATTCTCTGCCTGCCCCCCCCACAGGAGACGTGGGCCTTCCTAGAGGAGCTGCTGGACTTCTTTGAGACCTACATTGCCTGGGCCAAGAGCAGTGTGAGTGAGCCTGACCCAGCCAGGCATGGGGATGGGTAGCAGGGTTGGGGGAACCCCAGCATGACCTGTCCCAGCTGTATCCCCAGCTGAGGATGGATGTGGCACGCTGCAAGCCCATAGCCCAGAGCCTGGATAACGTGGAGGCCATCGCCTGTGACCACATCTTGGACTCTATGGTGAGAGGGATGACACGAATATGGGGTGGAAAATGATGCTGATGGAGTGGCTGATGACTGTTCCTTGCTCCCAGAACACCTTCTGGTTCAGCCTGGGCTGGTGCACTGTGTTCCTGCTGCCCAGCATCATCCTGGCCGTGCGTCTTGCCAAGTTCTACCGCCGCATGGACATCAACGACGACTACAGGTGAGGATCTGCCCTGCCACAGTGCTGGTCTGGGGTCTGCCCTGCAAACCACCCGTTGGTGGAACTGCAGTGCAGCTGAAGGAGCTGTGTGCTGCTGGAGAAGTGATGCTCAGGAATGTCAAAACTCCATGGGCTGCAGGAGCCCCCACGCTGTGCCCAGATGAGGAGGCTGGAATGGAGGGACTGTCACAGCCTGCAGCACCCACACCTTCCTTGTGTGCCCCAGAACAGCCCCATCCTGCAGTGTGATGCTGGGCCGGGCTCTCAAGAGGCCCTTCTGACCCACTGACGTGATCCCTTCTTTTTCCTTCCCCCTAGGAAAGAAGCTGTGGAGATGTAAGTAGCAGTGCTGGGTCCCTACTTGGGGTAAATCCTGGGGCGTGGGGACAAGGAGAGGAACCTGGAAAGCACAAGCTGAGGGGGGTGCAGGCAGCAAGGTGGGACCTGTGCAGTACTACTGTTTAGGGGTCCCTTTACCACATTCCCCCCTCCTCTTTTTGGGGTGCTGGGCCACAGAGGGACAGCATTCTGCCTTCCCATGGCATTCTTGGCTGTCCCCTGCTGTCCTCTGTGGTTGATGCAAACACCCTTGATTTTGCAGAGGGCCTGCATTCAACCTGTACAAAATCCCCCAGCCAGCTACAAGTCATTAGCCTCCATCACAACACGGCACAGGCACTAAGGACGCTGAACACGACAGCTCTGTCTGCTGCATCTTCTCCCTTAGCACTGGGAACAGGCTGGGAGCCCCCTCCCCACTTCCCAATAAGTGGTGAGGTGCTACAGCTGGGAAACAGCCTGCAGGAGAAGGGTGTGTGCCCTTTGCATTGCCCCAGGTGGGGCTTTGCTACCCCTCATCACCTGGGGAAGGTGGCAGGGAAGGGGAGGAGTAGCACAGCATCTCCCCACGGTTCATTGCAGCCATGCTGTGGTGTGGGGCTGGGCCAGGACCCCTCCTCCCCCTTGTGTGCACAGGCAGATGCTGCTGGCTGAGGGGAACTTGCTTACCTGCTCCATAACCAATGTGAGTATTTATTTGTGCAGGGAGCCTGACTCTCCAGTGCTGTGATTTTGGGTGTAAAACAATAAACGAGGTGATTTCGTGTTGTAGGTATGGGGTAGTTCTATACACTTTTCTCCCCAACCCTTCCATTGTGGTCAGGTGTGCAAAGAGGGGCTCTGGGGCACTTGTTTCCCTGCTGCTGGTGCAAGCTGGGGCTGTGCTTAGAGGGCTCTTGATTGAAAGTGAGCCCTGCCCTGCCAACTGCAGGAATCACAGAATTGTAGGGGTTGGAAGGGACCTCCAGACATCATCGAGTCCAATCCCCCTGCCAAAGCTTGTTCCCTACACCAGGCAGGAGCTCAGCCTGGAGCCTGAGCCAGTCATGGGACCAAACAGGGGCTGCCTCCTGAGGACCACTGTCAGCAGGGCTAGGTGCTGTCCCAGCATGGTTCAGGACCATCCCTGAGCGCTGCAGATCAGGAGCTGCTCGGTGTAAGAGGCTGCAGGTCAGTGCCCTGATCCTTGGTGATTCTGGTGCTCCCCAGGCTGAAGGTTTCCTCCTGGAAGGGGACTGGGTGGAGGCCCCCATGTGCTGGTGCCCACCCCTGCCTATCCCCTGGAGCTCCTCAGGAGCTGCATGTTGTTATGGGCTGAGCCTGTGCTGGCTGCTGTGCTGCTCCTTGGCTGAAGCTCTGGGACCATTCCAAAGGCTGGGCTGGGAGACGGACACACACAGCCTGACTCATTTCCTTCAATGCAAAGTCCAAGCCTTATCAGAGGGAGCGATGAAGCGGAGCAGGCCAGCTTACGCTCCGCTACGTACATCTGCTTTACCCTTTTGCTTCTGACTTTAGAGAGACGCCTTTTTCATTCAGGAGCTACCTGAACCTGTGCCAGCCTTACCTCCTGCTACCTCTCCCAGCACGTGTCCCGACCATAAGTGGAACCCCGTACCTACCTGTTGCCCTGCGCAACCTTTGCCAACACACGGCAGCATCCCATTCCCTGGGGCTGCAGCTCTGTGAGCAGCCGTGGTCTGTTCCCTCCCTCCTCCTTCCTTCTGCCCAGCCCGGGAGCCCAGGGCAGCATCAGATGGCATGGCAGCTGCTCGGGGAAGAAGCTAGAGCCGCTCACAGCGGTGCCACCGGGGCCTTGTATGCTATGTTTTCACCTGGCTCGTGTGAGCAGCAGCTGGGAGAAGGCAGCACCCCATGGCTGCAGCGCAAGGCCCAGCCCGAGGCAGGGCTGCCTGGTAACCGGCCCGCCTCCAGGGAACCGTTGCAGAGGTTCCTCTTCCCCATTGCCAGGGTTGTGTTCTTTCTTTTTTTCCACCGCAGGGACTTTCCACAGCTCAGCCCCCATCTGAGGGAGGAACTGGCACATCGCTGTGTTTGGATGCAGCAGGGTCCCTCCAAGGGTGGCTCTGCCACTGCAGGAGGAAGCCACCCTGCTACTGATTTTCCAGCCGGGAACAAAGGGACGAGCCACAGTTTTAGAAAAAATCCCTCCTTTTCCTAATCCCAGCGTGGTGGCCAGCCACAGCCCCCCTGACACCCAGCCAGGGGCCGCCAGGGGTGCTCATGGCACCACAAGCCACAGGCTGTGCAGCACAGATGGCCCTCCTTGCTCCCAGCAACGCGTGGCCTTCAGGCTGCGGTCCCACTGGGAGCCAAGCTTGGCTAGCCTACCCACTCAGGCAGGAGTGAAGGCAAACCGCCCTCCTCCCTTGCTTGTACCCTCACAGCATTCACCACTGCCCCAGCACTGCTTTAGGAATCTTTATTTTTAAAATGAGACTGCCTTCTCCACTTGACCCCGCTCTCAGGAGGAATAACACAGCCGACTTTCCCCACCCGCTCCCAGCCTGGCACAGCACCAGGTGGCTCCACGGCCGGGGGTCCCTTTGCACCATGGCCGGGGGCTCTCTGAGCACTGAGGACAGGTTGGAACCTGCATCTTCCCGCCCGGCTGCTCTCACGTTACACTGACTTTGCAAACAGAGGCACAATGTGAGCCAGACAACCCTGACAAAGCCCCTTTGTGTGCAAAGGGTGAAGGTAGGAGAGATGGGGATGGAGGGCCCTGGCGTCCTGCGGCATAATCTAAGCTTCCACAAAGGAAAGGGAGAGGCAGGGCCAGCCCCAAGCTTGCCCGGGCTGCTGCCAGCTTCTCAGCTCGAAAGAGAATTTGGGTAGCGGCTGGGATGGAGAGATAAGGGAATTAGGCTGCTCTCCTCAGCTAAGTAGCTGCAATTGGACACAGATGCAGGGCTGCTCCCAGAGGAATTGCAGCGAGACAGAGTGCTGCAGCTGCCAGTGCATGCTGGGGCTCCCAGTGTCACAAAGCTGCACCGTTCTGGCATCTTGCCGAGCTCAGGGCAGCGACTCAATGACCCCACTGCAACAAACAGGCAGAGCCTGGAGGCATCACCCCACTTGCTGAGCACAGAACGGGGAAAAGGCTGTGTTTGCTCCAGAGCACTGCTCCCAGAGGACTGGAAAACTAGAAGTGAAGTTGCGAAGAGTCAAGCAAACCAAAATCAAAGTGTTTTGGGCAGAGAGCAGCTCTGCAGTCCTGTGATGCAGCCAGTGCTTTCATCTACAGATGCACCTGGCATTTGCTCCTCTACAGGGGCACAAACAATTGCACTTGCAAGAAACAACCAGAAAGCCTGCCCTGGCTTCAGGTGAGACACCCAACTCCGTAAGCCCCCACGGACTCGAGGCTTCAAAATGGAGCAGGCTTCCCTGCTGCCAAGCAGGGCAGGGCTTCCTGGAGTGGATGTGGTTTTCCCCTTCCCTCACACCCAAGGACTGGGATCCCATTGTGCTTTCCCCTTCACACAGTGTCACCCCGCACCAGTGCTGAGGCAGAAGTCCTTGCCCCGGCTGGCTGAGGAGCATCGCTGCCCGCTGCTTTTGGAGGGTTCTTGTGTTCTCGGGGTGGGGTGGGAGGGGGGAAGGTGGGGCTCTGCAAGGCATCTGAGTACATCTCATCCTGGACGCAGGGACGCTGCATGACCCGCTGCAGCAGCGGCTTGAGCAGGCCCACAGTCAGCTGGTTCCCCTCACTTGAGAAGGGCACCGGGTCCTGCTGGGAGCAAGGGAGGTGCTGCAGGACCACGGTGAGGATGTCTGAAGTGCTGAGCTCAGCAGGGCATAGCAGCCACAGTGTGTCCAGGTAAGGGTCCAGCTCCCGGTGCTGGGCGAACTCTGCTAGCAGCGTGGTGAATATCTCCTTATTAAGCAAAGGACTGAGCTTGGAGAACTTCTCTGCCACCTCCACCACCCGCTGCCACTGCTTCAGGCGGATGAGAAGGTGCAGAGCTTGCAGCACAGCCTTGGGTCTCTTGCTGCAGAGCAGCAGTTCGAGCTCCAACTCATCATCCACCTCACTGTGCTTGCTCTTCCTGGCCAGCACTCCCAGAGCTCTCTTGTACAGTGGCACGCGGCCTTCTGGGCCCTCCTTGCCGCTGTATGGCCAGGAGATGCTCACGTACTGCTGGGTCAGCTCCACAAAGTTGGGCAGCCACTTGGGTTTGAACCTCAGGAAGGAAGCACAGATGAGCTCAAAGAGTGGGACCACCCCATTCTGCCCCACCTCCTCCTGCTGTGGTCCTCCTAGGATCTTCTTCCAAACCTCTGGGGTGGCCCGGGCCACCAAGAGGCCATCCCCGTTCTGCTGTAGCTGCAAGCAGCTCCTGGTGGCCTTCCAGGCAGCCCTGGGGAAGGAGGTAAAGACGGAGTTCAGGTAGGCCAAGTTGTCCTTGTCCATGTCAGAGTGCAGAACACGGCTGACCTCCTGCTCCACCAGTTCCTCACAGTAACTTTCCACCTTGCTCTCCGAGGCACTCACCACACAGGTTTTGAGGAGCTCCAGGCTGAGGTAGCTCTGCAGCTCCAGGCTGATTGTGCTCAGCAGCTTGGCATAAGTGTCTTGGAGGCCTCGGGCTGGCTTCTGCTTTTGGTGAAGGCTGTGCTGCAGGATGGCAGTGAGGGCCACGGGTGCCTGGAAGACTCCACCTTTCTTCAACTTCTCCACCGTCAGCTTGGAGCTGCTGAGACTCCTTCTCTGGTAGTACCTGCAGGCCTCCTCGAATATCATCTCCACCAGGCACGGCTCAGGCCTGCCACTGTCCTCGGGGTTGGAGAAACTAAAGCTGTAGATGCCAGTTGGAGCGAGAAATTGAATGCTATCTTCCTCTTCCGGGGACTCCAGGAAATGCACCTCTTTCATGCTCAGGATTTTCTTTTCTATGACCCTCCCACTGTTCTGGTTGACAAGGTACAGAACTCCAGCCAGCACGCAGGCCAAGATGCTACCGTAGGTCTTCAGCTCAACGGCATCACCTCGGGCCAGAGGCTCCGCTTCCAGGTCAAAGACATGCCTCTGTGTCCCATCTGCCTCTAGCACATTCACAGCACCCTTCCTGCTCACCAGCAACAGAGCCCCACAGCTGGACACGGCACAGGTGTGAATGTCCAGAGGTGCCAAAGCTGAGAGGAGACCCACGGAGCCAAGCAGGAGCTTCCTGAAGTCCGACTCGCTGCTGGAGTGCAGCACCTTGCTGTGGACAAAGCCTGCGGAGGGGGCTGCGATGGTGAGCTTTGCCTGCTCGGGATGCCAGATGAGGAGGAACTTGGAGGCGGTGGCAAAGCTGCCCGAAGCAGGCACCAGGAAGACGTGCCAAGGAGAGGCCAGGACCCGGTACTCGGGGCAGTTGTGCAGGACTATCCTCACAGGGCCCAGCCGCACGCCTTGCTCCCCCAGCTCCAGGGCGCGGGCACAGACGCAGAACCTGAAGGCACATTTGCTGACGTCCGAGCGGGTGTCCAGGGGCGGCCTCTCCTCGCACCACACCAGGCTGGCCGCCTGGCTGCACACGGACACGACACGCGCCCGGGCACCCTGGCACAGCTCCAGCGTCTGCAGCAGCTGCCAACCCGCCGCCGAGACGAAGCGCCAGAGCTCGGCGCGGCCGTGCTCCCACACGATGCCCAGCGCCCAGCGGCCCGGCGCCGCGGGGCTCTGCGGGAAGACCAGTCCCGCCAGGGCGGGCTGCGGGGGCCGCCAGCTCCTCTCCAGCTCGGCCCCGCCGCCGCCCCGCAGCTGGAAGGCCACCACCTGGGGCAGGGGGGGCGGCCGGTTCTCCTGCAGCACCACGAGGTGCCTCCCGTCGGGGCTGGGCCGGACGCGTCGGGGCTCCTCGCCGTGGCACAGCAGCTCCTGCAGCCTCCGGCCCCGGCTCAGGTCGCTGAAGTCGGAGAGCTGCCGCAGCGTCCCGGACGGCTTCATCTCGGGGGCGCGCCCTGCGCAGCGACAGCGGGCTGAGGTTCAGCCGGCACGGCTCCCGGCCCTCCCGTCACCTTCCGCTCAGCCCCGGGCCCCCGCCTCTCCCCTCGAGGCCCCGCGCGCGGGCCCTACCTGCCGGGCCGGCCGCTCGGCTGGGCTCTGCGCAATCACGAGGCGGCGGCTTCCGGGCGGAGCCGCTCCCCGTCGGGGCTCCGAGCCGGGCCGGGCCGCCCCTCTCCGACTTCCGTCGCCGCTTCAGCGGAGGCTGCGCGACCGCGACCTCCGGGCTCCGCGGGAGGAGCGCGGTGGGACCGCC